GGAGTCTACATGTGAGTGATTGCGAGTGCCGCGGGATCGTAGCAGCGCCGGGCCCGCATCATCATGGCGCTCAAATATTGCCGCTCTCATCCTGCTATTCTTGCTCATCCTCATGCTCACCCTCCATCCTCCACCTTCCCATCACCTCGCCCTCTTTCGAGACAGCTTGGAAGCAGAGCACGTGCCCATGGGCTGTGGCGTATGGCCAGCATGGTGGACTCAGCCCCGCAACGCTACATTCAACGAGATCGATATTGCCGAAAACATCAATTCGCTGTACGACCACGCTCTCGCCGTGCTGCATACCAAACAGCAGTGCTCACTCACGCCAGCTCCATCCGGAGCCAACGGCAGCAGCAACATCGCAGCCGGCGGCTTGCAGCAGACGCAGAGCGGCACATACGAATTCTTAGATTGCTCCTTCAAGAATCTCGACATGACGGGATGCCGCGCGCATCTCAACGGCACCGATGCATCGAGCAGCCCACCGCGCCCAGTGACTTTGTGGGGTGATGCATTCAATGCTGGCGGCAGAGGTTTCTTTGCCATGCAACGAAATCTAGTTGGAGATGCTGCTGACGGTGTGCGCATCTGGAGCTGGCAAAAGGGACAAGAACCCCAGAACATTCGCTCGGCCACCAACACCAGCCAAGCGGCCATCGACACCTCGACATGGGGTGAGCCTGCAGCATTCTTTGACTTGCAAACGTGTCAGGAAGAGCCGTGGGGCGATCAAATGATTGTAAGTTGGACGAGAAGTCGAGGCAAACTGAGCGCGTGCTGCTGCACACGTAACGCGGCTTACAAAAGGGTGGCATCTGTCACAGGTGCTCAACATTGCTCTGTGCGGTGATTGGGGTACAGCTACTTACGAAACTAGTGGCTGCGCTGCACGATATTCTTCCTGCGCCGCTCAAGTTGCTCAAGCCCCCCAGTCTTTTTCTGAGGCGTACTGGTCATTGAAAAGCATGCGCATCTACACCAACGGCATCAGCATCGACGATAGTCGAGACACTGACGGAGCCGCTACCACGACCACGACCAATCCAAATTCTGCTCCGTATTCTCGTGTCTTCTCCCTGCTTTCCCTTTCTGTCATTTCGCTCGCAACTGCTACGACTTTCCTCTCCTGATGGATAGCGCCGCTGTTCTCGCTCGGGGGCTCGCGCGTCTTCACGCGAGCTTATCTCTACTGTGCAATTGTCATCCAGATCGGGCAGGTAGCATGGCACATTTGTGTGAGACCGTTCGTAGGGGATTTCGATTTGTGCATCTGTGCAAGAAGCGTGTCAAAGTGAGAGTCAAGGGTCCTTCAAGCCACCGTCGGTCATGGACTTCATTGGCACGTGAGACTTGGACATGGAGGGTCTGGGAGCATATTCTGACTCTTGTCTGTTTGACACCTATAGCACGATGATGAGCTCTGCGCAAGCCATTGATGCCCATACGAGAGAGTAGCCTAAAAGAAGCACTCTAGCTCGATCCAAGCAGGACATGCTCGCGGAAGCGCGGACATGAGTGTGGGGCTGTTGCCGACTTTTTCGACTTCTCACACAGCTACAGAGCCACACGCGGGCCAGCGCGACGCGTATTGACCGGTTCATGACTGATTTGTCAACTGCCCCACCTCAAACGATCGTGAATGCATGAGAAGCAGCAAGCAAAAGTTCGGACGTCATTGAAGCGAGCAACCTGGATTTGGACGCGTCTGATGTACGCATGCGCGACCCATGATGGACTTGCCTCGATTGACGTCCCGCGCGTGCGCGCTGGCAGCCATCAGTGTGCACTTTGGACATGATGAAATTTGGTCTCTATGCGGAGTCGCCGCAGTGAGTGGAGCTTCATCCCACAACCACCATCACTGTGTCCCTTTCTCGGTGTTATGTCAAGGCGAGTTACCAAGCCCTAAGCAGTCTCAGATGTCTACTAGCTCAAGAACACAAGATTGCTCTTGAGCTTTGTGCTACTGTTACTGAGCAACATGTCCTCATTCAAAGTCACACAGGC